TATTTCTTTTTTGGGCTCTCTTATCAAATCGAATGTCAATCGATAAACTAATTTATATTAGTTGTTGTTGTTGTGGTTGTTTGTTTTTGTTTGTTGTCTTTTTTTCTTTCTTTTCTATGGATGTTATCATTGTTTAATTACCTGTACACTGTTGATCTCTATGACAATTTTGATCTACATAATCTTTTTTGATTTCTTTTTCTTTAAGGAAAAAAAATCATTGTTATGATCTGGATTCGATCCATAGTTTCCAAAGTTTTAGTCATATGGTGCTATTGCCTTATAGCGAATGTGTGAACAAGTAACTAATACAAGATTAGTTATGTCAGGAACACTGTAAAAATGACATAAAATAATGGAAAACCAGTTTAACCAAACAATCATAACATTAAATTATGATGGTAATTTTTTTGTATTTTAATTTTACCTGTAAAAAAATTACCAAATGATTTTTTGATTAGAAAAATGCAGGAAGATTTCCTTTTGGAAAAATATTCCAAACAGCATCATTGTATTTATGAATGGATCTTGTTTTTCTTGTTCCTTATCTATTATCATTTGTTGATCTTTGTTTTGTCATTCGAGATAATTGATGTTCATGACTTTTTTATTACTTTTGTTTTGTTTCACCTGAAATCAATCATTTGTCATTCTGTTTGATTTGATTTGATTTAATTCAATTTGATTTAATTCAATTTGATTTGATTGATTGATCGATCGATAATGACATTTATTTATTGATAATAAATGAATGAACTGAATGTATTTACCGAATGATAATGATGATGATGATGATGATAATGATCAGTATTGGAAACAAAACAAAACAAAACAATAATCATTGTTTGTTTATCAGAAAAAATATTGTCTGTTGTTTCTGTTTCTGTTGTTGTTGTTGTTTTATCCAAATCGAATAGGTCAAGTTTTGTTGTTGTTGTTTGAAAATTAAATGTATCATCTCAAAAATGAATGAAATTTTTGTTTCGAAAAATTCAAAATGTAGAGAATTCTGAGAATTTTGAACATAAAAACTATATGGATTAAGTAAGAGAGAGAAAGTAATGTTTTCTCTTTGAATTTTTTGTTTGTTTTGTTGATCAGAAGTTTTTTAATCATTTTTTTCTCTATTAACACAGAATTATACACATCATGTTAGATCATTTTTAATGGCCGATTATTATCATCATCATTTTAATCATCATAATTTTGTCATTTCATTTTCATGATTGAAAATAGACAGACAGACAACGACAACAACAACAACAAGAAATCAAAAATCATTTTGAAAATTTGAAAATCTACATCATCATTGCGTGTGTGAAGAAATTTTTCGGTTTCTGGTTTTCGGTTTTTTCCAATCCTTTTCCATTTGTGATTATGGATCATCATCATTGTGATTGTTCGCCATTCCGAACAACAACAACATTATTTTCCAATATTATCGATACATTTTTAAAAAATTTTATGAAATTAACATCGAATATCGACGATGGTGATGATCACCAATCATCAACTTTATCAACAAAAATATTTTCTTCCAATGATTCTCAACAAAATAATAATAATAATAATAATGATAATAATTCAAAAAATGGAATCAAAAGTCAAATAAAAATGTCTTCATCATTATGTTGTGGTCGACCACAATCATCATCATCATCGACGACGACGACGACGATATCATCAACAACAACAACAACGACAAAATGCATAAAATTTCCATCATTTTTGATTATATTGATGGCCATTGTGTTGCCATCAACGACATCGACATTAACATCACCATTATCATTGCAAGATTATTTTCCTGATACAGCCACAACAAAAATTCCTAATCGTCCAACACCATTTTCACCGGATTATCATCCTGAATGTGACATTATTTTACCGGCTTCATATTCATCATCATCATCATCATCAATGAATAATCGAAAACAAAATCATTTTAATGAAATTATGGAATTATCCGCACCGGTTATTAATTTAGATATCAGTGGTGATCATCAATCATTGCCACCACCACCACCACCATCAACACCGATATCAACATCATATTATTATCCAGGTGATACAAATGATGCATTATCAAATGATTTATTGTCAATGTCAAATAATGGTGGTGCATTAGGTGGTTATGGTGGTGCATTATCATCATTTCGTTCATCATCAGCATCATCAGAATCATATCGTTCATCATCGGCATCAACAATCAATCCAATTTTACAAAAATATTTTGCCGATATAACTGGGTATGTTTTGCTTAATTTGCATAATTTTGTAATTAAATATTCAAATATCTTCTTCTGGTCAATTTACAGACATCATATTCGTAAACGTTCAACTTATATGATGACCGGAGCTGGTGGTATTGGTCATATCTGTATAAATTATGATGATATCAATCAGGCAATACATTTAGCAAAAATATCATTAGGAATGTATCAAATACCACAGGAAAATAATCATTTATCATCCGATTATCCAAAACCTGAACATGTTGCTACTGTAGGTGAACTTTTAGTAAAAGCTTCGGAAATTCTTGCACAATCATTTGGTTTGAGTAAAGAAACAATTGTTTATGGTTTACCACGTATCGATACAACCAATACTATTATCCGAGAGATTTGTCCATCCATTATGAAACCTGTTAAATGTGAAATAAGTAAATATCGTACATTAAGTGGTATGTGTAATAATCTGGAATATCCAAGCTGGGGTTCAACACGTTCAGCTATGTTACGTTATATGCCACCTGATTATGCTGATGGTATGTTTTTTTAATGATAATGATAATGATGATGACTATTGTTTTTAATTATCATCATCAACATTACGCCCACATAATTATTAATGTCTATTGTTTTCTTTTCTTCAATTTCATCATCATAGGTTTATCAGCACCAAGAGTTTCTAAAAATGGTCAACCATTACCACCACCACGTGTTGTATCATTTATATTACATCAAGCTGATGAAAATGATTATGATACTGAAGTAACCTATTTGGTTATTGCATGGGGACAGATGGTTGATCATGATTTAACATTTGCTTCAATGCCAAAAGGTTTGTCTTTTAAACATTAAAAAAACAAAACAAATAAAAGTAAAAGTAACATCTATAATCATACACAAACATTTCAAAAAAAAGTAATTAATGTTTCGGCTAAATAACGGTGATTGCATAATGATGATGATTTTTCTATTTAGCTAAAATAAATAAATTAAAAGATTCGTCACTGTGGATTTCTTCTTTCTACATTGATACACGCACACAGTGTTAAAAGTTCAATGTCATTTCCAAAAAAACTCTAATCCGCTTTAATTGAAAAATTCTTTTTGATTTTTTTCTTTTCGTTTTTGAAAAAAACTAGATAAAAATGATCAATCAATAAAATGTTGTAAATATTCGGAAGATCAACGACATCGTAATTGTTATCCAATACAGATGCCAAATAATGATCCATATTATAAATTTTATCCGAAAAAATGTATGGATTTTGTCCGTTCAACAGCCGGTGTTAAACCAAATTGTCCATTAGGACCAAGACATCAAATAAATGTTGTATCATCTTATTTGGATGCTGATTGTATTTATGGTGGTGCTATTTCAACAACCAAAAGAATTCGTGAATTTAATGGTGGACGATTAAAATCAACTAAAGTTTATAGACAAATGGGTATGTGTGTTTGTTGAGTGTAAATAGTCCACATCCACTATTGATTTTATATTAAAACGAAAGAGTTAATAAGTAAAAACAAAAATCAATTTGAAAAATTTCAAAAGAAAAATGAAAAAAACAAAACAAAACTTTTGAATGACCTCATAAATCTTTAACTCTTTACTTCCAATGAAAAATTTTTTGATGATAATTTTTTTTGTTGTTGTTGTTGTTGAAACTATTTGATCCAATTTCAACAAAATGGCAACAACAACAACCGCCACAGAAACAATTAAGAACATGATCTTGTTTTCAAGCTGGATTTCTTCATTTCAGTTTTTTATTATCAATTTTTTTTCAAAATTCAAAAAAGTGCTAAATGAACGCTAATTTGATTAGTTTTTCATTTGGAAACAATCGATTTTTCATTTTGAAATTTGCATATTTTTGTTTTCACTAATGTTTCCGATTTTCTTCGTTTAGGTCTTAAAGATTTATTGCCAGCAAAAGTAAAAAATCCGGATCAAGGATGTGAACGTAGTGGTCGAACGAAAAATTCCTATTGTTTTGATACAGGTGATACACGTTCAAATGTACAATTACAGCTTACTGTATTACATACNCAACAGCCGGTGTTAAACCAAATTGTCCATTAGGACCAAGACATCAAATAAATGTTGTATCATCTTATTTGGATGCTGATTGTATTTATGGTGGTGCTATTTCAACAACCAAAAGAATTCGTGAATTTAATGGTGGACGATTAAAATCTACTAAAGTTTATAGACAAATGGGTATGTATGTTTGTTGAGTGTAAATAGTCCTTATCCACTACTGATATTAAAACGAAAGAGTTAACTAATGGGGGAAAAACAAAAAATCAATTTGAAAAAATTTCAAAAGAAAAATGAAAAAACAAAACAAAATGAATGACCTCATAAATCTTTAACTCTTTACTTCCATTGAAATAATTTTTGATGATAATTTTTGTTGTTGTTGTTGTTGAAATTATTTGATCCAATTTCAACAAAATGGCAACAACAACAACCGCCACAAAAACACAATTAAGAACATGATCTTGTTTTCAAGCTGATTTCTTCATTTCAGTTTTTTATTATCAATTTTTTTCAAAATTCAAAAAAGTGCTAAACGCAAATGAACGCTAATTTGATTATTCAAGTTTTTCATTTGGAAACAATCGATTTTTTTTAACTTTGAAATTTTTTCATTTTTTTTCACTAATGTTTCCGATTTTTTTCGTTTAGGTCTTAAAGATTTATTGCCAGCAAAAGTAAAAAATCCGGATCAAGGATGTGAACGTAGTGGTCGAACGAAAAATTCCTATTGTTTTGATACAGGTGATACACGTTCAAATGTACAATTACAGCTTACTGTATTACATACAGTATGGTTACGACATCATAATCAAATTGCTGATGTTTTAAGTGAAATTAATCCACAATGGTCGGATGAAAAATTATTCCAAGAAACTAGACGTATTGTTGCCGCTATGATACAACATATTACCTATAATGAATTTTTACCGATTGTTGTTGGTCGACAAACATTAACAAAATATGGATTGAATTTACAAAAATATGGTTATTATCATGGTTATGATCCAAAAACTAATCCAGGTATTCGTGTTGAATTTCAAGCAGCTGCATTTCGTTTTGGTCATTCAATCGTACCGGATACTGTTGATCGTTTTAATAAATTTCATAAAAAAATTGGTAAGAAACTTTTTTTCCTGGAAAGTTTTCCATTAAATTCAAATGAATTTTTTTTTCTTTCGGAAACAGATTCAGTTCGTCTTGCATCGGTTTTACGTCAACCATTTAGTCTTTATCATCCAGGTGTATTGGATTCATTTATATTCGGCATGATTAATCAACCTGCATATCGTGTTGATGCAACAATGGCCAATGAAATTACAAATCATTTATTTCAAAAACCAGGTGAACAATTTGGTTTGGATTTAGCTGCTATAAATATTTTACGTGGTCGTGAAATGGGTGTACCTGGTTATAATTATATGCGTGAATATTGTGGAATGAAACGTATTAAACATTTTAATGATCTTTATGGTTTAGTACATAATGAAACTGTACAACGTTATATGCAATTATATGATCATGTTGATGATATTGATTTTTGGTCAGCTGGTATAGCGGAATTTCCATTGATGGGTGCAATGGTTGGACCAACATTTGCTTGTATTATTGCCGAACAATTTGCACAGCTACGTAAAGGTGATCGTTATTGGTATGAAAATGGTCAACTTGCAACAAAATTTTCAATGGATCAATTATCCGAAATACGTAAAACAAAATTGGCCAGGATTTTATGTGAAGCATCTGATGATATGGAAACAATACAGCTATATCCATTGTTAGCTGCACATCCAACATCGTAAGTTATAAATTGAAAATAAGTATTTTTTACAATCAAAATCTTTTTTTTCTAATTCTCATAAAAGTAATCCACGTGTTAATTGTGCCGATCTACCTGAAATGGATTTAACATCATGGCGTGAATCATCATCATCATCATCATCATCAGCATATATGTCATATCCGGATAATATTGGTGATACGGCTGTGGGCGGTGGCGGTGGTGGTATTAGCACAATAATCGATGAATATAAAGCAAAATCTAAAGCTAAAGCAAAAGCATAATGATGATGATTAGAAATTTCAATCAATCAATCAATTCAAACGTCATCGTTTTTTTTTCTTCTGAGTGAGATTGCCATTCGTCTTTTTGTTTTGTTCCAAAAACAAAACAAATAATTAAAGTAGTTAATAGTAGTAATAACTTAAATTAAATAATTTGAAATTTCAAAACTTTCTTTTTTCGCACATTGTTTTTCTATAATCGTTGAGTTTTTCCTTTTCTTTCCTTCCTTTTGTTTTTCGTTTAATTTGTTGTTGTTGCTTAAAATATTATTTTTTAAATTAATTAATTTTTTTTTCTTTAAAAATCACACATTATCATCGATTATAATATGGATAATAATTTTCGTTTTTTTTTAATTCAAAAATAAATTTTTTTAATTGAAATTTTGTAAATTTTGAATTTATCAATTTTAGTAACATTCCAAAAATATAGATGGCGTTATTGTCTCATCATCTACAATTTAAAAAAATTTATTTACATTTCATTTGCCGTGACCCGGATTCGAGCCGGGGTTTTTACGGTATTAAAATGCATCTTACGCACGATAACCTCCATTCCTATATCTGGGTATTAGGCCAGACAAAAATGGATTCCGGGGATTAGGCCAGAAATAGCCATCGTCAGTGCATGCCATAACGCAAAGTAATAACCACTATACTATCACGACATTGATATTATTGGGAAATTTTTTTTATCTAAAAAAATTGTACTCATTTTTATCAGACTTAATAAAGAGAGTCGTTACATCAATTGCCTTTTATATGGTTTGCCATCGAGTTAGTTTAGCGCCTTTTGACCTATGACAATCATAAGATTTGATTATTGGCGCGATCTGATGTGTTCAAATTTTTTGATACTATTTCAACATATTCGGTTGCAGTTGGTGATTCCGGCCTCAATTATCAAAATTTCCTTCTTGATTAAATCATGTATGAGAAGATCGAGTTTATTGTGGTCAATTCTTGTTTCGGTTTTTATCTAAATAACATAATCTAAATAACATCTAATAACATAAAAAAGTAAAACACTGACTGGCTGGCTGGCTGGCTGAAACGAGACACTTTTGTTAATTTTTTTTTTTTTTTTNAGCACAATAATCGATGAATATAAAGCAAAATCTAAAGCTAAAGCTAAAGCATAATGATGATGATTAGAAATTTGAATCAATCAATCAATCAATTCAAACGTCATCGTTTTTTTTTCTTCTGAGTGAGATTGCCATTCGTCTTTTTGTTTTGTTGGTTTTTGTTTTGTTTATTAATTTCATCAATTATCATCATTATTGAATTTAATTTAATTTGAAATTTCAAAACTTTCTTTTTTCGCACATTGTTTTTCTTTAATCGTTGAGTTTTTTTTTTCCTTTTCTTTTCCTTCCTTTTGTTTTTCGTTTAATTTGTTGTTGTTGTTGCTTAAATTTTTTTTTTAAATTAATTAATTTTTTTCCTTTTGAAAATCCAACATTTATTATCATCGATTCATGGATAATAATTTTCTTTTATTCAAAAATAAAATTTTTTTTTAAATTAAAATTTTGTAAATTTTTTTTTTTTGAATTTATCAATAATAACCATCCAAAAAGATAGATGGCGTTATTGTCTCATCAGTTCCAGTAAAAAAAAAAAAATTTTTACCATTTCATTTGCCGTGACCCGGATTCGAGCCGGGGTTTTTGCGGCATCATAAACACCAACCTATCCTAAACGATTTAATCACCATCTTAAATGGCGCCCGTGCACTGGTTAAATTACATCATTTAAGAAGGACTTGATAAAGCCGAGTCAGTGCTTACCACAACGCAAAGTACTAACCACTATACTATCACGGCACTATTTATGAAATAATAGGGAAATTTTTTATATACAAAAATAAATTTTTAAATTACAAAAAAAAAAAAAAAAAAAAAAAAAAAAAATTTTGTTCCAAAAAATTTTTCCCACATTTGTTTGTTTTATCGGTT